TGCTCCTAGTAGTAAGGCCAGGAGCCCCTAGCATCGTCCTTGCTCCTGGTAGTAAGGCCAGGAGCCCCTAGTAGCGTCGTTGCTCCTAGTAGTAAGGCCAGGAGGCCCTAGTAAACACTTAGACTCAGATAGAAGAAAACATGAAGGTAAGGGCCTCTTTAGCCAGCCCCCTTTAGCCCTTACCGTCTTTATTTCTGTCTGAGTTCGACCTTCGATTTCTCACCACTACGCTCCCAGCTTGCTCCACCTGCTGCCTGCGAATGGCTGCTGCCTCAGGAAACATGACCATTTTGGGGTTCCAGATCCACTTCATTCATGTGTCTCAACTGTGCTTGCTACACAATGTCGCAAGCAATGCTTTTGGTGCGAATCACTGGTTCGGTGCGGCAAAACACCGCGAAACTATGAGTTGTGATCTCCATGTTTTGGAAGCCAACCCGAATCAAAACGCTGCTCCCTTTGGCAGGTCGTACAAGTGTAAAGCGCAGCGTTCTTTAGCCGCTTGTTCGCTCTATCTATCCTAGGGGCTCCTGGCCGTACTACTAGGAGCAAGGACGCTACTTGCTGTCCAAATCGCTTTTAGGACTGGCCCATCTTTGGGCTCACGAGTCTCACGAGGGCTGTGACAGTTTTGCTGGCCTCATGGAACCTGGTCAAGGTTCTTTTCTCGGAAGGCAAAGGGCTGTGGTTTGCTTCTCTCACACCTTTCGACCAAATGGTTTTTTCAAAGGTCAGCAATAACTCTAGTGGCTCTAGCGACTACCAGCTTTGAGTTTGGGAGCAGGGCTCAGAGTTGCCAGTAGACAAATCCCTTTTCGTCACAAGTGTTGCAAAAAAGATTTTGTTCCACCAAGCTGTGGTAGAGAAATGTTGCACCAGACTCTTGGTAGAGAAACCCTGTGCCACCAAAGCCATGATAGAGGGACCCCTGTTCCACCACAGCCGTGGTAGAGAAAGCAGTGTTCCACGGCCTCAGGGCCAGGCCTACCGGAAGGAATGTGGATGCACCCACAAAGGAGACACAAAAATAATTCCATCATGTTTGGGGCGTGGAGGGGTTGTCAAGGTACTGTTTCCACACCCGAAAAGTTGAGGCAACAACCACCGGTGAAACCATAGAGCATCCCTTTTGATCACGCTGGTGTAAGTTGTCCTTGTGCATGGCTCATCTAAATCCTTCTCCAGGATGATGAGCAGAGTCAATCAAGCTGTACTTCCTGCACTTCACACCTCTTTGCTTTGCGCTGGAAGTATTCTTAACCTCGACTCCTTCGAAACGACCACCCCCTTTCGCACAGTAGCTCGTAGGGGAAATTTTGCCGCCATTGCGCGAAGAAATCTCATTTAGCCTGATTTCTCTCTAGCACAGAGTCTTGTGCGTCCTTAAGGTCCCTTTCTTTGCTCGCTTCCTTCTCCTCCGTGAACCTCGCTCGTACAGATTCTTCCTGACCAGATTGTTTCGCCCTCCATACCTTCCTGAACTTAGCGTCTTCTGTTCACGCCTGGCGTGCTTTCTTCTTCCTACTCGATGGACCTTCCCAAGCTTCTTCCTCGCTTTGTTTCCCCCGCCCTGCGGGTCTCCTCTCCTCCCAGGCCTTGACCGCTTGCCCTTGCTTGGGTAAGCTGCCCGAAATTAGACTTCCCCTTCCGGCGTAGTCTATTCGGCCCTCCCTCCTGGTTGCCTCTGACTGATCCTTATCCGCGCGTCAGGCCCGTCTTGTGTCCTTCCTCGGCCGTGAGTGTAGGATGCACCTTCTTGCCGCCCCGACGTATCGTGGAGATGATTCCATCCTCTAGTTCGTGCCTCTGGGACCCTTCCGTCTCACTCCCCCGTCTGATGCCCTCTGTTCTTCCGCTTCGCCCTTCTTTCCACTTGACCGCTCCTTCGTTTCTTCTACTCCTTTCCTCAGGCTCTATTTTGAGCACGCAGGTTCCTGGCTCCCTTTCCTTCTCACTCCTTCCTTTCCCTTTTCCTTTCGACTTCAGAAGTTTGTCCCCTTTCTTGCGGTCTTTCTTCCTCTGACGGAGGTGATTACCGCAGATCCCAGGTACGCCACGGTTCGATCCAGATGCCGAACTTCCAGCCCTCTCTTCTCTTCCGGTTGCTACCGAGGCTTCTTTCTCCTTCCCTTCTTCCGGCCACGCTTTCACTCCTGCCAACGAACATCATACTCTTGGAGGGCCTTCATGCGCCTAGTGTCCCTCCCGTCGTAGTAGACCATCACTTCCTTAGCGTTGATTCCTCTGGCTCTTCGTCACCCTCCTGCGTCGGGCTATGACTCTGAACCCTTCGTGCCTCTCGGCGTCTCCCCCGACTGCCAGATGACTCGGTACTTTCCTCCCGGGTCTGACCTTTGACAGACCCTTTTTGCCTCCTTCCCTCCTTCACTCCTTCCTTTCCTCATCCGGCCTTCTTCCACTTCCTTGTCCATCCACTGTCTCGTCACGCGTCCTTCCAAGTACCCCTTCTTGGACTCGTTCCTTGGGCGCATGACCGATGCTCTTACCCTTTCCTTGTCTTCACTCCTCCCGGCCGGCGTGCTGACTATGTAAGTTCCTCCTCTTCGCCAAGATCCTCCAGCTTTGGACTCACGGGCGTGAGCCCCGTTTCAAGCCCTACTCGCCTCAGCCACACTCGCTGCGTAGTTGGTGCCTACGCCCCAAGTTCCTCTTTCCAGTCCGACCAGCCAGCGAGATGTTCCTCTGCCCGTCTGCACCTTTCCGTATTGCTCTCCTCCATCACCTCCTCCTCTCTTTGATAAGCCTTCTGTCCCTTCTCTTCGATAACTTCCATCTCACCTCCTCCTCCTCGAAGTATTCTTCCCTTCCCGACCTCTTGCGTTCTCCCTCGAGAGTTCCCTTTCACAAACCTTCTCCCTGCCCTCGCGGTTCCTATCTCCCTGCAGTCCCTCTGCTGCTTGACTCCCAATGGTGATCCGCTTTAGGAGTTGCATCCCTTCTCATGTCCCTTCATGTCCTCCCTTGACTCCTCCGACTCTTCCTCAAATGCAGCTCTTCTGCTGCTTAACTCAGAGCAGCGCACCGCCCTGCTTCCCCCCTTTTCCTCGGATCCTCATCGTGCCTTGCTGCCTCCCCTTTGGTACCTCCCTTAAAGTAGCCCCTCTGCCGCTTGGTTCCCCCTTACAGCCTCTCTGCTGCTTGGCTCCCAGCGACGAACAGCAATTGGAGCTGCATCCCTCTCACGGGTCCTCACCGAGTTTCCCGAAGAACCCTTTCCTACGATTCCTTCGCTTCTCCCTCTCTGCAACCTTTCTGTTGCTTGACTCCGAGGTAACCAGCGTACCACCTGCTTTCCTTTCTCAGGTCCTCATCTTGACACCCTGCCACCCTTTGGTACTTACCTCGCCGCGGCCCTCTGCTGCTTGACTGCCCTTATGCAACCCCACTGCCGCATCATCACGAACCGTGATCAGCCTGCTTTTCTCAGGTCCTCGCCGGGCCTTACAATGACGCCTTTCCTCCTTACTTTCCGCTTTCGCGGTACTTCTCCTCAGAGGACCGTCCCTGCGTGACTCCGAGCGGTAATCAGCTTATGCTGCTGCCTCCCTGTCTCGGGTCCTCGTCCTCCCTGTCTCAGGTCCCTTTCCGTGGGGCCCCTCCCTCTCTTCCTCTGTCGTGTCCCTCTGCTTGACGTTATAGTGCCCTTCCACCTCCGTTTGGCGCCTCACCGTTTCGATTCCTTCCCTTGTGCCCCTTCGTGCACGGTGCCCTCTCCTGTCCTCCCTGTATCGGGTCCCTATTCGTGGGGCCACTCCCTTTTCTTCCTCTGTCATGTCCCTCTGCTTGGCGCTATAGTGCCCTTCCGCCTCCATTTGGTGCCTCTCCGTTTCGATGCTTTCTTTGTACCTCTTCGCGCACGGTGCCCTCTCCATTTCTGCCTTCCTGCTCCCTGTACGTCGTCCTCCTTGCGCCGCTTCCGCCCTTTTTCTTGCCTCATTTCCTTTCGACGATTGTTCCCGGTCACTTTTCTTGCACTCTGCTTCTGTGGTTCTGCCTCCCCTTCTGGTGCTTCCTCTGCCTCCCCTTCTGGTGCTTCCTCTTCAACTGGCTGGTCCGCCCATCACCACCTCCATGGAGTACTGTGCGCCCACCCTGCCGCCGCCATGGGTGTTGGCCCGCCCCGCCAGTGTGGGACGTGTTGAAACTCGTCGAGCCCAGGCAACACAGATAACGGCCTGCCAGAATGAGCGAAGCGACCGAACGGCGCGACGAACGTGTTAACAGGGGGGGTGAAACAGCCAGGCGACCTTATCCCCTCATCAGGGC